TACAGTAATACCACGTTATCATTGCTCTCCTAGCTTTATCATCTACTTCACATTACAGTAATCAATTTCAGTGGAGACTTCTGATTTCATTAACCTAATCAAATATCACACACCAACATGACCCACAGTAACTTCATTCTACTTAGCCTTAACAGATAAAAACAAGCTTTAACAGAGCTGCCAGTGACATTAGAGTCCACATCCAAATAAATCCAGCACAATTAGCCAACTGCCAAATTCCAGTAGACCCATTCAGTTTCTTGTTTCTTTTATTAGCATACCGGACAAACTAAATACACTGCATATAAAAAGCCAATTTTTTCTTTCATGTGCACAAGTACATGCTACTGAAATAAATAACCTTATCACCAGAGTAGCTCAAAGTAATCAGACTTGCTCAATGACTGGCATGTCATGCTATTCTCAACCCTTCTCACTTTGCCACTACCCAGAAATGCACCAGCAGCGTAAAGAGAAAACCTAAAGAGAAACATATTAATGGACAAAGAATTAAAGAGGTGAGAGGAGAACACAGAAGAATCACCTTGCTTGTCCCAAGCAGCTGAGAGACAATAAGCCGAATTCTATTTTCAGTTTCATTGATGTAAACTTTATTTACTCATTGGAGATACCCCTGGCTTAAACCATTAAAGCAACACAAAACAGAATTCAGCCCAATTTGGCCTGAGCTCCACCCATTAGATTTTTTGCCTGTGAAGGAATAAAACAAGGATTTCAGGCTATAATTAACAGCAAATATTTTTAACAAATAATGGAAGCAAAACTGGGAACCAGCCTTGCAACTTGTATCTCAGACATGAGAAGTGCCACTGAAATTAATGCAGATTACTCATGTGAATAAGGGTTTGTAAGATCAGGCCCATACTAATGGGGGACAAAATATTTTTCTTTCCTTATTAAAGATACGTGTTGTGTTAATCTTTCTTTTTACCTCACTTTTGCTCTTATCAGTTATTCAGTCACTTCTCAGTACACAGGAAGGGAAATACTGTATTATTGTCCATAGTGGCATAATTACATATTCTTCTATTTCTTTTTCCATATATGACTGAATCAGAAGGAAAGAGAGAAATGTGCATAGTGATATAATAATATGCTGAGTTTATTTGGAAGAAATATATTAGCCATAGCATAACATTTTAATTCTTCCCCAGCATATAATGCTGTGTTTACTGCAAGGTCAGTTAAGTTACTATAAGAGATTTTTAATGAAAACAATTATAAATTTAAAATAACTGTGTTTAAAGCATTTAACAGTCACTAAGGTCAAGTGATTACAGCAGTTACAAGACCCATGGGACATGTTCACACCAAAACAAAGTGAATAAATTACCTCAGCCAGCGTGTGTAATCACTAAGTGACCACAGAGGTTATTCAGTGTACAAGCCCAGAAGACTTTCATGCAAAACCAATAATGAAAATTTATCAGTCAAGGGGAAAAGCATTAGAATTAGCAAAAGTTACATGGTCAGATATAGAACTATTAGGAGTAAAAGATGCAATGTGTAGGAGAGGGTTAGGCAACTGAGATAGAGAGGCTGAGGGGGGAAAAGGTGGCATTAATGAAACAACCAGACAGGATCCAATCCTGAATATTTTGTGCAGCTACAATACCTACTGAATGTCGTGGGTATTTCAACCACACAAAAATGAAGTAATAAGGCAAAGGAAGCTCTCAGATGCTCAGGTCTTTTTCATGAACTCATCTAGTAAAATAAACTTGGGATGTGAGGTTAGGATATTCATATCTTAACTTTGGCTTTGTCTTTGCTCCCAGAAAGTGGGTGCTCTTACCAAGAAATAACTAATGTAGGTTAGCTATACCACTGTAAAATCCTAGTAGAAGCAAGGATGTATTGATTTACCATGAGGAGAACTATGGATGGTTTGTTAACCTATCCTAACTACCTCATGGTATAAACTATATCAATTGCCATGATTCTACATCAGAATAGCTAGGCGCTAGGCACAGTAAATCCCACTGCAAAAAAAAATGATGACTTTGATAGGATTTCTGTGTACTGTGAGCAAGAGGGCTTCAGAATAAGGCCTTATTAAACAGGGTGGAATGAATATTAAGATAAAACAGACGAAAGTATCATAATGCCCTTGGGCAAAAGGAGAAACATTTCTGCCTCTGGTACCTCTGTGCCCTGTTATCACAGCCTTTTACCATCTCATCATGAATATATTTATCCTCACAACACTTCTGTGAAGAAGGGGATAACTCCTGTCCCTATTCTACAGATTAAGGACCGCAGCGCAGAGACAGACCAAGACCCGAAGTCACACTGCTATGCTTCCAAGAGAGGAGGATGCATTGAAATAAGCAGGGCCTGGAATAAGCAGGGCCAGCTTTATGGTGTACCACGCTGCCCCTGATTTTACAGAAGCCCTTCATAGAGCTGGGAAGACATGACACGCAGTGCTGGGGGCTATGGTCTTTCTCAATGGACATGGTATTTTTCACAGAGGGAAGAGGAGCCTACACATGTGGAAAGAAGGATATATTGGAATCCCCCTCTCCTCCACAGAGCTATTCATTTTCCTTTTGTAGTACATATATATAAGGGAATGCATACAGACTTAATCCTATGCCTCAAAGAAGGAAAGAGGAATTTACCAATACGAGGTGAGGAAAAAATCAAGAGAACAAAGTAGATGAAAGAACGCTAAGAATAGCTGCAGCCGATAAATGGAGGGATGAAAATCAATTTTCATCCCCAATTCTAATATGAAGACTGAAGAGTAAGTACTGTTTTGTGTATGAAGATGATGGTAGGCTCTATCTCCTTAATCTATGAGAAGGAAATATAGAAGTGTTAGGGAAAATCCTGTGGTACTTTCACAGTAAAAGCTTCTGTCAGTTTCAGTAGGACATTGATTGCTTGAGGTCGCAAAATTTGTCTTGCTAGATGCAAATTTGAGGTCAAGTATAAAAACTTTAACAGAGAATGTTGCATCTTAGCCAAAAACCCAAGAAGGGATTAATACACCCTGACCCTGCCAGCACTCCATGTGTTGTATGTGCACACACACAAAGACAAATCATTCAATAAAATTATGAGCTGGAAACAAAACCCATTCAATGAGTTATATTTCTTATGTAGTAAATGTTAACCAATGGCTTTTATGATAAAATATCATCATAACAGACACATTTTCATTCCACAGAATGTTTCCTGTTTCCAATGCCATAAAACTTCATAGGAAACAATGAAAACACCATAGAACTTAACTGTGCATTTTCAGTCAAACATGTCTAAATGTACAAACTCTCCTTATCAATACAAGGATGAAACAGTGACCCAAAGCCCGAAGCACCAAACTATAATATTTAGACACTATCATGAGTTCCAGTCCCAGTGGACATTCAAAGTCTAGTGTCTTAAGAAAGTAAATCCTTCCCGGAACCTGGAATGCCTGGGGCCAGCAACCATCTTTAACAGTGCTGGCTAACTTTCCTAGCGCGGCTGACTTACGCAGGTACAGTCATACTCAACCCCTATAGGGAGATGTGCCTGCCCAACAGTCCCACCAAATAGGATATCGCCATGGGGCATCTGGATGCCATCCGTTCTGAAGTGTGCGCCTAAGATGCAGACAAATCATATGTGGCTTGCTGGTTGTGGAGTATCATATGTGATAGAGTTCCCACTAGTGAGAGGTCCCAGCATGGGATGCACAATGAGTATAGTATGTAAGGAGGCTCCCTGTGTGCTCCCTCCCATTCCACATACCCATATAAGCACCTCTCACTTTCTAGCTATTGCAGAAATGGTCATTCTAAACCAATAAGAAAGGGTAGCACTTTCTCAAGACAAGGGCTTGAAAGGCATAATTACAGCACGTTGGTGTGATTATGATCGTGAGGGATACTGGAAGCCCTTGTTCCCAATATCCAGCCATAAAAATAGGGGCATATAATCTTAAAATTTGACAAGTTCTGGGAAATCAAAGGAGAGTACAGGAAAAGAAAGAATGGAATGCACAAAACAGAGAGGAAAAGCAAGGAAAATGAGAAAGACTAAGGATTTGGGAGTCTTTTTGTTTAAAAAAAAAATCCTGTTATGAACCAAGAAACAACCCCTCTGATCTCCCAAAGGGCCAGCCAAGAGAATCCCATGGATTTAATGAAGCTATTAAAGGCCTTTAGAGACATGGTCATCACAGCAGGTAAAAGAGTACAGTGACTGAGGCACAGTAAAATTACAGGTCCATGCTTTAAAAGGTTCTTATATAACATTGCAGATTCTTTTCAAGCAGGAAAAATATTTGGAAGGCAAGCTTGCTGTCTTGGGCCACCTTAGCCTCTTTAGTAACCCTAATATAAACAGTGATATGCACCACATGGCTGGCTTCAGGTTCTCAGCCGAAGAATAATGAAGTGACAAACATGCATCACTTCACTGTTCTCTGTCACTTTCCCTGTGGAGCTGCCCTCATCCTATTCAATGAACTATTAGGATACACCTGGAAATGTGTAATATTAGCTGCATTTAACCTGGGAGACTGCACATCATAATTGTAGAAGTCAGCATTCAAAGGGTTAAAAATGACCGCACTTCTTTAACTGAAAGTCACCTGAATAACTCAAAGACATACTTTCTCTTTCATGCTGCCCTTTTTTGGTGTGGGGAGAAGGGACTTCCCTATGTCTGGTTACGTTACTGCCACCCACACCTAACATCTAAAAATGTTAAACCTCAGAAACTCCCAGAGATGACACATGAGCTCTTGTCCCTTTGCCTTTGAATGACAGAGGCCTCTGCCCCAAGATACCTCAGACATGCAGCAAAATATCTCAATTCATCTTTAATTAACAGAATCATACCCAAACTAGAGACAGCACATCATATAAGAACAACCGAAGCAAGGGTAGAGGGATTTCCAAGCTCGTGAATTCAATTAGGAGGCAGTGAGTGACACTTGGACAGGAAAGGTTAATTGGGGTCAGCAAAACGCAATAATTCCTTACCTAACCAGTCATTAAACTTCTTAACCTCTGAGGGCAGTCCCAGCTCGGTGAAATCGCCTGTGTGGAGAAGGATGTCCCCATAAGGCATCTGGATGCCATCTGTTCTGGAGTGTGTGTCTGAGATGCAGACAAATCGCGTGTGGCCCGCTGGTTTTGGAGTGTCATATGGGATAGGGTCGACCCTGAAGCAGACACATAACAAATCCCATAACAGTTACGTGGGTTACCAACTTTTGCATGTCTTGTGTTAAATATGAACACAAATCTAAAGATACAAAAAGTCATAAGGGAATGAAACAGTAAGACATGAGAAACATCCCCCGATCAAAAAAATCCATAACGCATGAGCATCGACAACCCAAAAAGTACAGTCACATTTGTAAATACTTACCTGGCAGTAAAAGTAGAAAGTGAAAAATTATATGCATTGTGGTCTGCTCCACACCCAGGCCTGATACAAACATTCATAAATAAACTGTCTAATTTGGTCAGACCTTTTTCATCCAATCAAGAGGTACCTTATTACATGAACCAATACATGGGCTGTAAAATACCAGATCTGTCAGATGGGCTAAAACTGTCTCCCAGGCTTGATTCCTGCCCGGTGCTGAGCAATAGGATCTCAGCCAAGTTAAAGCTAAGCACTATCACAGATGTCTATATTTAAGCATGGGAACATTTCCACTGACTTCAGCAGAAGCACATGCATGCATAAAAATCAGATAAGTGGGGCCCAGCAACAATCCCTCAGTTCTTCTCACACCAACCCCAGACCTCATCTTCCAATGTCTATACCACCAGAAGGTGAGGTCAAACATTAGCAACTATGGATAAAAACATTTCTGTTGTTTTCAGTTAGCGATGCTAATAATTTTAGCTCAACCAGCTATTCCTTAGCAACAGAGACATTAAAGTGACCTTGTCAACTATAATAGCAATACAAATATAAGTCCTGCCTTTAAAAAACGTGTTGAAGGGCTCAAATCTTATTGACATTTAAAGAAATAAATAATTTCATGGGGTGCTTTAATTTAATTTATAATAACTTAGAATAAATTAACATTTCTTTATTGTGCTGCAAGACTTTGGTGTACTTATAGCTTCTGATTATGGATATTCACAACGGTGGCAGCTTGAGTTATCTCTACTTGAGCAAATTCCTCGCCAGTTAGTCTGCCTCACTTGAGAGCAGCCCCACTGCAAATCACCACTTGAGTTGCATAGAGCATGCATGCATGATGCATGATTACCTCAAGCATCAGTAGCATTTGGACTTCAAACCACAAGCCCACATATAAGTTAACTTGACTTTAAGTACCACTTCATTCAAGATGGATTTTTATGTGTGGACGAGAATTGGGTGAGGGGTAATTTTCAAACAATATGTAGAGCAAATCCAGCAGTGAAGACAAGCCCTGGATGTTTTTACAGGACCTTGTACAACGGGGTTCTCACAAACACAGAAATAAATGTCTGAAAACCACTAACTGAAAGCAAAAAGAAAGCAAAACAGAACAAATGAGGTGCACTACTCAAGCTGAGTGAAAAGAGACAGGCAAACAGTCGGCATAAATGGAAAACAATAAAATGATTTGCTTTCAAAAAAAATATTAGTTTTAACAGTGCAGTGTTTTCCCATAAGAGAGATAAACAAAATTCAAAGGAAAACATAGAGGATGGAAGTGTTCCCTTATATTTTTCCTATTTATCTCCTGAGCTGCATAGGGCCATATTTTCTGCTGGTGTAAATTAGGGTAGCATCAATCACAGGATATGAGGTTAAGCTGGTTTCTCAAGCAGAAAGTTTGGACCATACATTAGAAATTACATTACAAAAAAGAAGGGATAAACATGAAAGAACTGTGTGCTGTAAAAGCAGATATATGGAGCCATACCAAATGAGATCATATCCAGAAACGGAGTAACAGAATATTGCCCTGAGTTAACATACTACAGGGAGGCAAATGGCCTACTATGTAGCTCTAACAATCGTTATTCTTAATGGCATTTCCCCATCCAGACTTAGATGAGTTGCTGGAAGTAAGTAAGTGTTGATCACCTGTCCTTCCTTAAATAGAGACTAACAGAGCGCTCTACACATGCAATTAATGTACCCGAATAAACTCCGGGGCAGTTTGCACCAGAGTCTATTGCTCCCAGGCACACCATATGCAGGGCACACCTAGAACTGCAGCACGTTTAGCCAAGGTGGCACAGCCCCAGCTGGCAGGGGGGACCCCAGGGGTCAGCCTGCCAGCCCGGGGCTGCTCCAACCCAGCTCAACATATTGCAGAGGGGCTGGCTGGGGCATGGTGGGGCTTCAGTGCAGGGCTAGCCAGCAGGCAGTCCCTGCACTACAGGCCCCAGCCAGCCCCATCAGCGTCTATACATGCACTGTGGTGAAGTAAATAACTGCTGTAGAATGGTACTTTTGTCTGGCAGTACTATCCTACAGTGGAGTTAATTCGTTTACTCCATTCTAATAGCACCACGTGTGTAGATGCTAATGTTTTACTGTGGAGCTAATTAGTCAACTGCAGTAAATGTCTCCTGCAGATGTACCAACAGACTTGCAAACTAGAGAAAGTTACATAAGTGAATCAACAGTGTGGTAAACTTCTCTCTATCTTCAGTATTATATTGCCCCTCACCACAGTGCCTGAGAATATTTAGCAACACCTCTGACACGTATTATTTGCATTCTACAGATAGGAAACTGAGGTATAAGATGGCTGTGCCAGAGTAAGAAACTAACCCTGGGTCTTGCAAGGTCTGCATGAGTCTTCTCGCACACAGCACGTTACCCCGGGTATGGTAGGGGAGGCTAGGGTCAGCACTGGGTGGGCCCCAGGAGCCTTACCTGGGGTCCTGGGGGCCTTCTAGGGCTACAGCAGCAGCAATCTTGCCACTCAGAGCCTAGCCGGCAGCCAGGACATGGCTCCGGCTGGTCAGGTTCTGGTTTCAGGCAACACATGCTGTCCCCATACTGCAACAGCTGAATGTGCTGTATGTTGTATGCTGCACCACATAAAATGTGGCCACACTTGTCTGGATGCAGCCAATGAGGGCAAACAGCACTTGTGCAAAGCTCCAAACACTGACACATAGCAGAGATTTACACTGAAACAAATATTTCAGTGCAAACCCTTGTATAAATAGAGTTCTAATGGAAAAGTAGTCTAATTAGTTTTCTTACTACCCAGACTTTATTTACTTCTAGCTCATATACTGAAAAAAAAATTAACAAGATATTGCTGAAGCATTACAATGCATGAGAAATTGATAGAATACATTGATTAAATATTAGTATCCTAGGAAACCTGATCATAATAACTAGGCCTAAACCACAGTGCATGGGCCAGACAATTGAACCAAGTTTTTTGTGGTTTTTGTTCATTGACTTGCTGAGTTGCAAAATGCACTCAGCCAAAGCGTGGTCTGGGCACTTATGCAAATTAGTGATATTCTGCATTATTTTTAGGGGGATTTTGTATAGCGAATGAATTTTCTTCAGGGGGAGAAGGTTAGGAAGGACACTTTGATATGTAATTTGCACATATTCCAGCATTTCTTTTAGTAATGGGCAGATTTTTTTTTTTAAACTAATGAGCAGACTGTACGATTAGATGGCCCATATAATTGGTTATCACTATGGGTTTAGCTGAAAACCCAAAAAGAAATCTGAACTCCAACATACAATTAATGGATTTTTCCCACAAGGGTTTGAAATTAATAAGGCTGTTACCACAGAGAAAACTCACTAATCCACTGAGATCACACTGGCAACCTGGGCAGAACTGTGATTATAGGCAGTCGTGCTTTCTTATTTGGTGTCTTCCTTCCCATTACTGAGGGTAAATTGAAATTTTTGAGAAATATATTACAAAGTAAACATGTGGGTCTCTGCGGCTACAATCTTATCAACATCTCCTCACTTCCAACAATGCTTCCTCCAGGCAATACAAAAAAATGAACGTCTGCTTTCGTTGCTGTACTGTACCTTGTTCAGATATGTCTGTCTGCATTAGGGATGAATAGCATCATTGGACCTTGTGGCACCCATTTTTGCTTGTAAACATTCACCATACTTTCCCTACTCCCTCCAGCTCATTCCCAAACACATTTTTTACTGTTCTGAGCTCCTGTTCTGCTATAGGCAATCCCGTCAATGTGATACTGAAGTCTGGCTTAGAGTCATTTTCTATGCATTCAATAACTAACCTGAAGAGCATAACAAAATCCAAATTCATTAAGATCCTGATGTCTCTTTTTCTTCCCTTTGTGAAAGCTATGATGTTGCACTGTATGTTTCCAGCTTAATTTCTTTTCTTGTTCAGCAGTACTGGCTTAGAAAATATTAAAAACAAAACTACTGTAGGTAATTATTCCCAGCCCATCAACTCCCCTTATTCTAAACATTCCTCCAAAACAGATAGAGAAGTAGTTGTCTTGCCATCCCAGGAGGCTGAAGTTCTCTCTTTATGCAGAGTACAAGCACAGCTAGTAGCAATGCAAGCTTTTCACATATCACTGCATGAATGGGACCCACCCCTAAGCTTGTACAACCACCTCTTTGAGCAGATGCTAGTCAGCTCCACATTCAGTCAGCTCCTAGTCAGTCCCGTGAGATGGCTGGCAAGTATGCTATTTGTGAAGTGAATACCTGTCCATTAGAAACTGGACTGAGGCCACTTATTCATGAACTGTCAATGGCCAGAAGCTGCAAATTTCAAATGCTCCCAGGTATCTGACCTCTCACTGAAGTCCAACAGAAAAGGGCACCCAACTCCTTCAGCCTCGCCACTACCAAAGTAGAACCAGTGACATTGGGAAGAAACACTCCATTTTCTTTCACCAATTCCCTAATGCATTCAGTGCACCCAGCTCCCCGCCGCATTGTGAGATGCAGCAGTTTGAAAAACAAAAGGTTTCAGGCTGGCAGAATGAACACAACGGACTCTACCGTCATGCTTGGAAAAGTGTGCGTGAGGTGGCACTGTCTGATGGCAAACATATTTGTTTCCAACCTGTGAGAAGGGTGACCTGACAGAATGATTGTTCTGGGCAGCCAGCTGTAGATCCCTATCTTTTTTGCAATAAAAATACATAAATAAAACTGTACTATACATATATCAGATGGACATGTGTGACAAAATTCCCATTTGCCTCCATTGTTTGATTG